TGGGAATAATAAGTATTATTATTATTATTGTGTATAGATCTTTTTTGAAATTCCTTTTTTGTTTTGTCGTTTGAAATGGCTGGTTGGGATCTTAGAGACGACACCAGCCAATGGTTAAAGATCTTGAATGAAATGGTTCAAAATCATTTACAATGGCGCAGGTGTAATTCACTCTTTATGTTCTCCCAAATTGTAATCTTCTGAATTGTTCATATCCCTTATTTTCTCTTTCCAAATTTATTTCACTGTATTATAGTCATTGAATAACATCTTTAAAGTCTAATGTTTCCGATTACTGCTTATACTTTTACTACCTCCTACCACTATGGGATTTGAATCGACAACTGCATCTCTGTGCTAATGTGGTGTGGCAACTCGAAGTGATGTACGTACGTACGATATTTTACGTTGTTACTGACTGACTGACTTGCTGTTGTTGTTCTTGCTAAGTACGATTGTGGATTGTACAATAAACTTTATTTTTTGAAAAAATAAAAAAATGTGAATTTTGTCGTTTTTGTCTTTTGTTTGTTTGTAGAATAATATTTGATTTGGTTTACTCTTACAATTCATTGTAATGAAGTATTGCCTTGAATTTGTTTATTTATTTACGACTGGTTACTAATTATAACAACGCCTGGAGCTCCTCCGGGGGCTCCTGTCGATTTTAAGCCCGGATAAAAGAGGAGGGTTAATCATCAGGTTAGCGACATCATCCCTTAGAAAACTAACTTGCTAAAAAAAACGCTAGTCATAAAAAATAATTCAAACTACTTAAACTCTACTCCGGGTGTTAGAAGGTCTTCATTTAGAAGAGTTTTGACACTTCATAGTGAAAGCCGAGTTCGTTCAGAAGTCAAAAGGCTAATTCTCCTTCTAACAAGCAGAGAAACCATTTATTAGGGTACATGGAATGCTCATAAAGTGTGGGAGATCGGGAGAGTCTTCCAAATTGCTACAGAAATGAAGAGATACAACTTGGATGTTACTAATTATCATTATCAGTCAGTTATATCTGTACATCAGTTGAAGTTTTCATACGATATTAGCATACTAAGATAAAATTATCGAGATAAATACTAGAATAGTAGTAGTAAACAAGACTAGTCACAAACAACACGATTTGAGAAGCAGTAATGTATTCATTTTAAGAAAAGTATATGATAATCTTGAAACTCGAGATCTAAGGAATGAAAAAGAAGCAGAGTGAATACATCTACACTATTGTGACCGATTCTGAGACATATCATCTAAAGTATCTAATTAATAGTTATGATAATCACGCGGATACCAACCAGGTTAGTCAGTCAGCAACAACATAGAACTTCGTATGTACGTACATCCGTTCAAGTTGTTATACCACATTAGCACAGAGATATAATTGTCGATTCAAATCCTATAGTAGTAGATGTAGTAAAAGTATAAGCAGCAATCGGGAAGATTTGTGTTTGAGATGTTATTCAATGAGTATAATCCAGTGAAATAAATTTGGAAAGAGAGAAAAGAATTAACATGAAGAATTCAGAAGATTAGAATTTGGGAAAACACAAAGAGTGGATTCACCTGTGTCATTGCAAACGACTTTGAGCCATTTCACTCAAGACCTCTAACCATTGGTTGGTATCGTCTCGCGAATCCCAATCAAGTAGTCTGCACCTACCTACGTGATTCAGTCGAATATTCACAGAATTCATGAACCGATGCCATATTTTATTTCGTTTTCCCTTTTCTCTCTTCTGTCCTAATCCTATACCAAACAACAACGCCGTTCGATTTTAGTGGTGATTAGGCATGTGCAGATATTCATCTCTAACTAAATACTAATAACCGACGAATGTCATATTTTAAACGTGTAACTATAAATCTCTATATGATTCATGAATTGGAAACCAAAAATTTCTGTTTAGAAGATTGTCTACGCAAATCGTGACTCTTATTTCGTAACATATTTTTAGATTCCACTGGAATAATTAAGATACTAGGATTAGAAATGAAAAGACTGTCCCAAGAGACATGTATTAGAACTGTACCACGATATATATCTTATAGTGATGAAGTCGATGGATAACTTTGAATAGTTCTGTTAAGTCTTGCTGATTGGACGTTATATTCGTTCCTAAGCTATTCTGATAACCCGCACGCTAGAACTATACAGCGACCTGAACACCAGAAAGAAGACGCAAAGTATGAGAGAGACACTTTACTCCAAGGTTCGTTTTTGTACAGAAAACATGGATATTTATAGATGTTAAATCAACATCATATTTCGGCCAATCCGTTAACGACATATTATGCTACTGACCAATAGTAGCACACCACGTTGGAACTCTAGAATGCTCCATCATGCTCTGATTGGCTAGGACTCTTCGGCTCCTTCTGGGCCTCTGGAGGCTCTGTTGAAGTTCTCCGAAAGTTGACTCAACAAGTTCACATCAAAGGAATACGTTATTATGACAAAATAAGAATGAAAAGGCTATAATTTCTTACTTAAGTTGAAGGGAGTTCATTTTTAACAATAGTACACAGTTAATATGGTCTTGCAGTTCATCCTATTCTCAGACTTAGCAAAAATGTAAATGGTCAAGAATTCATTGTTTGTTTTTCTGCACTTGACTAATTGAACATTTTCTATTACGTAATTATGATAGTTTTTACATTGATCTTCACTTTCTTCTGATGTTTTGAGACTAGAATAAAGCCTAGTTACAAACTAATAGAAAACGGTGTCCGTATATATATGCTTCTCTAATTTTCACAATGGCTCTTTACTACTTACTATCAAAAAGTAGTTTCAATAATACTTAGTAATTTTGTAGTTTGGATTTGAAATTCAGTCAGTCAGTTACAACGTAGAACTAGGCATCGGTTCTGGTTGTCACGCCTTATTAGCACAAAATGAGCACCAAATTCGTAGTAGTAGTAGTTACTTTAAAGATAGTAATATATGAAAAGGAAGATTGTGTATCAGGGTATAGTACAGGAAGAAAGAATTAGTTCGTAGAAAGATATAAATCAGTTTTTAATTTTACGGTTTTAAAGGAAGATAGAGTGTATACACCGACACCATTGTGATCGATTTTGAGCCATGTCACCCAAAGTCTTCAACCATTGGTTACGATAGTCACGCGGACTCCAACCAAGTTGTTTGCATCTACCAACATGACTCAGATAAAAGTTGGTGACTTCAAGCACTGATTCCACGTTTTGTTTTGACCACTCCCAAATTTCTTCCATCTGTCCCCCACACTAATCAGCATTGTGCGTCGTGCTAGTCAGTATTCAGGTGTACATACCACGTGTCTCAACCATCTCAGTCGATGAAGATATACAACCTCATTAGCTGACTTACCATCATTCCCTTATACTCTGCGTCTAACCTCTATTACTTATCCGGTGGTCCCGGAAGATGCGAGCAATATTTCTAAGACACTTGTGATCAAGTGCTAGTAGCTTACGAGTATCTTCCGCTCCGAATGACCAAATTTCTCAGCCGTAAAGAAGAACAAAACGAACTGCCGCGCAGTATACTTGTCCCTTAATTGATAGACATATCTCTCCTTCGCCATAGGTGACGTAAAAGTGGCAAAAGCCGAGCGAGGTTTACGAATTTGTGCAGTGGTTTCGTCAGACATCAACATATTAGGTCTGATCAGACTCCCGAGATAAGTGAAGTTGTCAACGCGTTCGTCTGTTTCACTCACGATCCTTAGTTCAGGTGTTGACGCAGGCCAGTCCTGAAGCAATTGGCTATTTATCAAAGGAATTTATATTCTTCTGCAGCAGTTATTCTAAGTACGATTCAATCTCGAAACCATTCAACTCCTTGGGGTTTTTTCTTTGGGTTAAAGGCACATCTAAAAGGAACTAGTCGTTTTGTGACCTTTCTCCTGCCTGATTATTCATTTGTTAGCTGATAAGTAACTCATAGGCATATTGTTTTAGTATCTAAGTGAAAGTTTATAGCTCTAATATACATTTGAATATTTACGCAGTCGGAAATTAGTTACGATTTTCGAAATATGTTAGTTCAATATACATGGGTTTATGTAAGCAATGATGGATAGTGGCTAGCAGTGGAATCCAGGACGCGTGTTTCGTCCTATTTGGGACTCGTCAGCTGGATATACCTGCATCTCAGAGTTGATGTTCACTCTGGGACTCGAACTCAGTACCATTCATTGCAAACGCCATCGGGTTTACTTTTAAGCATGTTTTTTTATCACATCGATTCAACCATCATAGCATTAACGTAGAACGAATAAGTGATTATCTTGAATTTCACTATAAGACATCATAAATAAGAGATATAATTTGAATAATACAATACTAGCAAACAAATATTAGGTTTTGAATTCTATTTCTTGTGAGATTTTACTGAATCTCTGTCGCTTCAAATAGTTCTTTACCTTCAATGTTTCAGTATACTTTAAGTCTAGATCAAGTACTGTATAATTCGCTCTCAAATGCCTTTGTACGGCGAGAGTAGGGAGAGTCAACTCTCCCTCTCCAAATGCTCTCATATGGCCACGTGCATTCAACCACTGCAAGGGAAGTCTTCCTCATTGCCTTCTTACGGTATTACTGTTGTTTACGAGATTGAGATGACGAAAAGCGAATGTCCGGCGGTTTAAGTGGGTTGGTGGATCCTGAGAATCAACCTAGGAAGGAGAGTTGGAAAACGCTGATTGGAAAGGAATGGTGTAGATGGGCTTCAGGATGCTAAGGAAATAAAAGGTGTATGAACGAATTGTTGGTCACCAGGCTACCATGTGCCTACATCTCTTTACGTTGCTCCACTGTCTTGTGGATTAGAATTTTAGGTAAAATTTTCGGGGTGTGTTGTTCCTAAAAAAAACCACTTACTTCGTTTTGGGCACCCGGGTAGTATTCCGCCCCTCTCATAAATCAGATAATTTATGTGTCGCATATCTATTTGATACCTCCCTGTACCAATGTTTATGTGTTTAAATAAATACTGTATAATTCAATAAAGTCATGTAAAGTCAAAGCAAATTTTATTGCAGAAGAACTTAAAATGAATTTTTCAAGTACCAAAAACATAAAAGTCACTTTTCAATATCATAAATGAATATGCATTTCAATAAGTATGCACTTAGTGTATATATATTGATCCCACCCAGTAACCACAATACCATCATTCATGGGATTTTCCACAATAGAAACAACTACTACCTGATGGAATCATTGAACTAGTCCATTTCGATTGAATACAACATTGACATGAACAATGTTCACATCTATCATTATTCATTTGTTCATGATGATGATAATAATTACACAAAGGATAATATGGTTGACAACAGCTTGTTGAATCATTTGTACATTGCTCTTTGTAACAAGATTGATTTGGTTTCATTATATTCAACTTGATCATATTACAAGGACATGCAGGTTTCTCATTATAGTAACCTTTATATTGTTGTTCTTTTATCATACTACTCATTAAATTGTTAGTAGTATAATTTGTTTCAACTAAATGATTGTCATTACATCTTGTACATTGAATATAATGATGAAAAGGTATATTCAAATCATTATAATATAATATAGACTTTATATTATCCGAATTTAAATGACGATTAAGATTGAATTGTTTTTTAGTTAGACTAAGTGATTCGTAAGTATTTCCGTTAGTGTTGGATGACATTTTCTGTTTTTGTTTTGAATATTTCAATGAAAAAACAATGAGATTAGTTGATTGAAACACTTTTCTGATTTAATGCCATGAACATTTCAACGGATAGAATCGATAAAGATCTGGATTCAAATATGATCCATTTTGATCGATAAACAATTGATTTATGATGTAAGTTATAAACTACTTATTATTAATCGATTAAATTTCTCATTATAGACAAATAGTTGTATTAGTAAAATGAAGAAGTTATGGGTTTGATGAAAATCATTTATGAAATGAAGTATTCTGTTGATCTCAGGAGGAGGAAGGTGTGATGGATTTAAGAAGAAACATACTTTATTTAATAGTTGTATGTGTGCTTACGGAAGATACTCAATGTTCGTTGGTTGGATACCATCAGCAACAGTGGGAGTGATTTTCATTTGAAGAGGAGAGTAGGGAAAAACGTCGGAATAGGATAGGACACATATTACGGAAATCACCAAACTGTATCACGAAGTAAGCATTAGCTTGGAATGTTGGAGAGAATCGGAAGAGAGGAAGGTCAAAGAATACACCATGTCGGGAATTGGATGTAGACATGGAAAGGATGAGTAACAACTGGAGGAGATTGTCCAGGACAGAGTTGGATGGAGATTGCTGGTGGTTGACTTATGCTCCTACAAGAGGGGTAACAGGTGTAAGTGAATGGCTGTATTGAATAGTTGAGCATAGAAAGTAGAATTAAAGATAAGACTAATATGATGGTACATTACACCATCGCAAAAGGTTAATACTATGTAGCGTTTATTTCTTAGAATCAACCGATTCTTATGTATCCTGTTTGCGTTCACTAAATTAAGTGATCCACTATCTTATAGGAATCCTCAGAATTCACTCTACTACTCAGGGATATTTATTATGTCCCATCGGAAAGTTGAGATCACATACAACAAGAAGTCATACTTTACTAATAAGCATGAAACAACCAAAAGACTTCCTTCTACTTAGCTTAAACCATGAATGAAGTTAATATCAAAGTGCATCTGGTTAGGGTCATCATCAGTCTTTAAGATAGAAGGCTTTAATTTTAGTAATATCGTATGGAGTATTATATGAAATGAATAGGCAGAAAAGGGAGAAAGACAGGAAACATACATGCCGTAACGAACACCACTTGGGGTAATCAATTCTGATGACAGTTCGCCATAAGCTCTCACTCGACAAGTTGCGTTCGAGTAGAGAGCCTTTATAAGGTTAATGTACTTCTTTGGTACTCCTTTCAGTGACAAACACTTCCGTAGAACCTCATGATCTACAGAGTCGAATGCCGCCTCCTCATCTAAATTTACAGGGGTTGAACTACTACCGGGAGGTTCACTTGTTGACTTAGAATATGCTGATGACATAGTTTTATTTGGCGAAGACGCTGACAAAATGCAGAATCTTCTGACCACTCTAAGCAACAATGCAAGCATGTTCGGGATGCGATTCTCTCCCTCGAAATGCAAAATGTTGCTTCAAGATTTGGTTACATCGACACCCGAACTAGTGATAGGGAGTGAAGTATTTGAGTGTGTCGACCGCCTCGCTTATCTTGGAAGTCTCATCAGCCCTTGTGGTCTGGTGTGTGACGAAATCTCAGCACGGATACAGAAGGCTCGACTAGCTTTTGCCAACTTGCGTCATTTATGGCGTAGGCGAGATATCCGTCTATCAACCAAAGGACGTGTTTACTGCGCAGCACTTCGTTCCGTCCTACTTTATGGCAGTGAAACATGGCTGGTAAGAGTAGAGGATATTCTCTTGCTACCTCTACCACTACGGGATTTGAATCAACAACTGCATCTCTGTGCTAAGGTGGTGTGGCAACTCGAACTGATGTACGTACGTACGAAGTTCTACGTTGTTACTGACTGACTGAAGTATGTTGGTATTTAACCACTTACTTTAATGAAAGCGTTTCAATGTAGAAATTCATTCTTATTCTTTAGGCTGGTTACCAGAAATCTCTAGGTTTTATCTTTAATATTATGTGATAACTCTCTGTTGTTCGGCAGGTTTTGGTCCTATTTATTTGTGTGACATAGAGATAATGTATTCATGTGTATTGTATTGAAAATATAATTGACCAATTTCATCTGTAGTTCCCTTAATGTTAATGCATGAAGGAAGGGATTCATCACCCATAATTGATTGATCACTGAGTGGTGACCAATGTCATGTGTGTCAAGTCCTTATTATTAGTGCAGATTGAATGCTATCGACCATGTTGCAATGTGGCCACCAGTCTAGGTGACTTGACTCGAGTGCCAAGTAGCACGAAACCCGGGTCCAGGGTTTCTTGTCGACTACCTCACCACAAGGACACACATTGAGGAAAGCACCCAACTGCGTCACAAGACAAGCCCTCACTTGGAATCCTGAAGGTCAAAGGAAAAGAGGAAGACCAAAGAACACATTACGCCGAGAAATGGAGATAGACATGAGAAAAATGAACAAGAATTGGATGGAACTAGAAAAGAAGGCTCAGGACAGAGTGGGTTGGAGAATGCTGGTCAGCGGCCTATGCTCCATTGGGAGTAACAGGCGTAAGTAAGTAAGTACCTCCAACCACCATCTAATATTGATCACGCGTCTACATATCAGCCATTTTCAAAATAACTCGAATACAAATAGAATAATCAGAGGAGCCATAATCTTTTATAGATTGCAGATACATTATTTAGAATATAACTTGAACTCATGTTTTCGTGTTAATTGTATTAAAGAAACACATAAATTTGCTTATGAAACTCTGACTACTAATAAGTAGTATGTGTTATAACAGGAAGTTTTACTGTTTTTTATTATTTCCATTTATTTTAACACAGGTATTGGTACAAGGAGGCACCAAGTACATATGCGCCACACAGATCTCATTTGATATATGTAAGGGCTGTGATACTGCTCGGGTGTCCAAACAGAAGCAGGTGGTTTTCTTAGGGGGCCACACCCGGAGCCTTCGACCTGAAGGTCTGATCCACAAGGCAGTAGAGCAACGTAAGGAGATGCATTCCCATGGTAGCCGGTGACCAACAATAGGTTCATACGCCATTTGTTCCTTCAGGATTCTGGAGCCCATGTGCACTAGTGGTTTGGAATCAGGGTTTTCCAACTTCCCTAGGTGGACTCTCCATGTTCACTAACCCGGTTAAAGTGCCGGACATTCGCTTTTCGTCCTCTCAATTTCGTAAACAACATCCTCGCCATGAGAAGGCAGTGAGTAGGACTTCCCTGGGAGAGGCTATATACGCGTGGCCATGTGAGAGCATTTGGAGAGGGAGAGCTGACTCTCCCAACTCTCGGCCATACCAGGGCATTTAGGGGAGTGAAGCAGAAAAGCAAAGATGGATAGTAACTAACATTTGAATTTAGTTTGACTCATATTTCGTTCTATTTATGACTCGTCAACTAAATGTACCTACATCTCAGAGTTGATATTCACTCTGAAAACTGGAAGTCGATCTACACAGGATGCATATATTGCTAACAAGAGATTAATCCATTGTAATCCTAAATGATAATAGTAGGAAGATACAAGTAAAACAACAACAACACCAAGTGAATAATAATATTATTATTATCAGTTTATGATTTGTGGAGATTGTTAAGTTTTTGATTGAGATTATGAACCGATTGATGTTAGACCTCAACCAATTCGCTAAGTTGCGCGACGATCTTCCATTGTACTGAGGTAGACACCTATTTCTACCCAACTTGATCTGCACAACCCATAAACTGATAATTATCATATGCTCACTAGTGACTAGCTTCATGAGAAAATTCTCGGAGTTCTAGTGAGAATCCGTGACTAGTGAAGCTAATCCGTGTCGGGTAGAGACAGCTGTCTACCTCAGTACTAATGGAAGATGGTCGCGAATTGGTTGAAGTTAAACATTAACACCATTGGTTGCCGACTCAACGATCTATTGTTTAAGCGTTCACGTGCGAGACTGAAGTCTCTGGGTTTAAATCCCATGAACGGGATTGTGGATGCGCATTACTAAGTAGTCTCATAATAGAACGAAACAGTCGTCCAGTGTTCCAAAGTTTTCAATGGTGGTCTAACATCAACAATCGGTTCATAATCTCAATTATTGTTATTCTTCTTCTTCTTCTTCACTTCTGTTGATTTTAAAATAAACAAACAAACAAAGTAAAGTGTAAGTGCCTATAGGGGACAATTAATTGTAAACCATGTCATCACATAAACATTTTAATGAATAAATAAATAACTACATGTATCAACAAAATAAATGAGAGAAAAAAAAAGAAAAAAGGTAAACAAAATACAATTAACCTGTCATCAATCGTCAACAACAACAACAACAACAACAAAAGAGAGAAAATTCGATAAACAAAATGAGAGGGGGGGGCATAATTTCCTCTCATTACTACTATTATTATTATTATTATTCATTTGTTTGTGCTCTTTCTTTTCATATAGATCTATCAATTTATGAATTATTGTGTGTGTATGTGTGTGTGTGTTGTTGTTGTTGTTTACTCATAAACATATAAATACTTATATATATATATTTATACTACTTAATTAACAGTATAATAGTAGTAATAGTCAGACATCTATATTCAGCATTGTTTATTATGATCATTCTATGTGCATTATTCACTTTACTCATCATTATGAATATATGATAACATTTTATATGAGTAACTCATTTTTATATTTCTGCTTCGACCACTTTTCGCCGCCCGCCCCCACCCGATCTCTCTCTCTCCCCTATCAGGGAGATACTTTCCTAGTGTGTAGCCATTTTATTTATATATAAAAAAAGGAAATAAATATTTAATGTGCCTTTGCGTGTGTGTGTGTGTGCGTGGGTTTTATTATCCCCTTTTGAATTTATCTTTTGCATATATAAGACAGATAGATAGATGATTGTGTGAATAGAGAGATGGATGGATGGTAAAAGGTGGATCATCATTTCTTCAAAGTACTAAACGGTCATTTCATTCTAATATTGAGACTTTTCAAAGTTGTTTTCATCATAGTCTTAACTTCAATTCATTCATGAATTCAACTATTGAAACCCCATTCCCCCCTCTCTCTCTATCTTTCTTTTTGATAAACTTTAAGACATTCATCATCTG